AGGAATGCCAAATAGGCTTCATTTCACCTGCCAAATCCTACTGATTAGTAATAACAGCCTATTAATTAATGATCACCAAACCACAAAGGACAGGGTAGTAAAGAATAAAGGGAAAGATAGTAAATATTCTGGACTTTGCATGCCATATGGTCTCTATTCAACCCTGCTGTTAAGAGTATGAAAATAATAATAGATAATTCATAATCAAATGGTATGTCTATGTCCCAATAAAACTTTGTTTACACAAAAATATTTACTTGTCTTAGTGATTTCTTCTTCTTTTCAGATTCACCTGGCATTCCACCTAGTGCTAATGCACATCAGCTTTTTCGGGGGTTTAGTTTTGTTGCTATTACTTCAGATGATGAAAGCCAAGCTATGCAGACAGTTGGTGTACATTCAATTGTTCAGGTATGTACACATCTAAATAATTTAAAATTTGAAATGTCATAAGATATATTTCACAGCTCCCCCAGCCAAGATGGTACAAGGAGGAAGGCACCACACAGTGGCCAAGACTGCCTGGAAGGTTCATTCCTGGTCCAAATTAAATAGGCCAGGCAGGGTGGCATGCACTTGTTGGCCTAGCTAACTGGAAGGCTAGGAGGCTCAAGACATGGAAAGACTTGTCAAAAATACCTCTCTCTCGGAACCAGCAGTTGGTGTTACGGCTATGTCACTGGATTCCCATGTAGTCGACTGTGATTCAAATCCTGAACCCAGTAGCTTAAAACTCATGCCAGGCACGTGTGCATGCATGCATGCCCAGGATCCTGAGAGGAGAATGGAGGAGAAGGGATTGCGGCATGGCCATTCCCCCTGAGGGGTAATTTCTCACTTTCTGTCTCTCTCTGTGTTTCTGGTGAGCCCATGCACCCTATAGCAAAAACCTCTCTCCAAAAAAAAACCTTTCTCTCTCTTTCTTTTTCTATCTCTGTCTATCTATCTCTTGCTCCTTCTCTATCCCTGCCATGCACTCACACCCTCTGTCTCATAGAAAAAGATGATACAACTTATGTGAACAATTAGATTTTAAGTAAGCAACTTAAAATACTTTTTATGTTATTAACATTGCTCTTAGAAATTCCTTTCATATGTCTTTGAAAGGGTTGCATGAACCCAAATCCTGGATACTTGTGTAACGTGAGAATGGGATTCTAAGAAATACGCTGTTTTGGCTCTCCCTTTCCCATGTCTCAGAATGTTTTTTAGGTCTATTTTGTTTCATTTCCTCCCTCTATCAGGTCAGCCAGGATGTATTGAAGTCTCCCGGATCACCGATGCCATAGAACAGGGGTCAGCAGACTTTTCCTGAGGAGGGCTCAATTAGAAATATTTGAGGCTTTGTGGGCTATGTGATCTCTGACACAATTACTCAACTGTGCTGTTATAGCACAAAAGCAGCCATAGATAGTATACAAACAGATGAGTGTGCCTGTGTGCCAATAAAACTTTATTTGTAAAAGTAGGCAGTGAACCAGATTTGGCCCACAAGTCGTAGTTTGTTAACCTCTGATTTAGAAAGTTATAAATAAATTTTTTAAAACTTAAATTTTAAGTTTTTCGAAGTTTGTGTCCTTGTTCTTTTGGAGTCCCTCCCCATTGTCATTTGGAAGAAATGGTTATGGTACTGCCTTAGGATTTCTTCTACCTCTTCACCTGTCTTTTTATCAGAGTTGGAGAAAAAATGAGTAACAGCCATAGAATCAGGTTTCTAGGGGGTGTGCATGTATGTGCAAGCACACCTTTAACAGGAGCCTGGATTGGACTAGTAAATATTGTTAGAGAAACACAGATAGTACATAGATTTCTTTCTTTCCGTCCTAGTATTATGGAAATATAAATATAATTCATCTTTTTAGTCATACAGAGAGCTAAGTATATCTTTTAAAACACTGAATTGCTTTTAGGGTACTAAAAGTGCTTGAAATTGCTTCTAAAATATGTACTGAAAGTTCGTGCTTGTAATTACTTGAAGATTAAGTTGCTTTCACTCTGATGTTTTTTTCACAAGTCAGTAATCCTTCTGCTTTGTAGAAAACCAATTTAAACACTAGTTCTTAAAGTTCAAGTTGAAATATTCTGTCCTTTCACATGCAAGGACATGAATATACAGCGTTTTTAAATTGTAACTTCTATACCTAACGTAGAAACCACAAAATTATATATTCTACAGAATTAAAGCTCTAAGCTATACAAAGTTTGTAAGCATGTAAGGGTTTCATATCCATATAGCCAAGGGCAACAGAGCTTCCCTCAGCCTGTTTACGGAACCAGTACTCTGCCATTCATCATCTACCATATGCTATTCGTCCCTAATCCATAAACAGCTTCTTTAGCAGAAGTTATATGAAACTGTGACTTGAGATGAGGAAAGGAAGGCATGGCTACTGTAAGTCCGAAGCAATGACAACAGATATTGCTGGCAAATGCCTCATTTTAATTTAATCCTTACTATTAACCTCTGAGAAAGCACAGGTTCAGGGTTACATGGCCTATAAGTGGTATACCTGAGACAAAAATCTAGATGTTCTAATTAAGAATTCTTCTAAATCTTTTCTTCTGCAGTAGAGATTTCAAGCTTCTCCTCATTTGAAAAGATGCTTTGAAAACCTGTAACTGGTTGAAGAGTGCAGTGGGGCTAAATCACAGATAAGGCAATAGGCTCCTTATCAAATAGCTCTGATTTTTGTTGTACATACTCAATTTCTTGAAGTTTTTATTTTTTAATTTATTCATCTATTTCAAAATAGGGACAGAGAGAGAATGAAACAAATATCCTCCAGAGTCCCACACCATGACTCACCCCATAGCCCTCCAGTCAGCCAGAACCGTGGGCAAGTTCATGTACACATTAGGCATGCACAGGTCAACCTGGGAACTAAACCCCAAGTCTTCATATGGCCTCTAGCACTGCAGTGTCAGCCAGTCACACCACCAAGGCTGGACCAACTTAAACTTTTCTTTAAAGGCATATTTCTTGCTATATAGTGTAGATGCTTCTAAAATACGTATTTTTAAAAAATAAGTGCTACAAAGAGTCATTTTGGGTCCAGCAATGACATGGTGGTTAAGGCAGTTGGATCCCATATAGCCATCTGTATGCTTGAGTCCCAGACCCAGCAGTTTGAGAAATATGCTTATTAGCACATGCCCAAAATTCCAAAAGGAGGGAGAAGTGGTGGAGAAGGGATTGTGAGATAACCATGTCCCATGGACGGTACTTCCTTGCTTGCTTTCTCTCTTTCGTTCTCTCTCTTTCTACAGCAAGTGTACACACTCTCTGGCAACTTTTTAAAGATTCATTTTGGGTTTTATTGATATTTATAGTTAACATCAATAATACACACAAGGTGAGGGAAGGCCAGCAGGTGGCGTAGTGATTACGTTGCTAGACTCCCACATGGCTGACTATGGTTCAAGTCCTAGATCCAGTGGCTTGAAACTCATGCCAGGTGTGTGTGTGTGTGCCCAAGATCCCAGGAGGAGAATGGAGGAGAAAGGATTGCAGTGTGGCTGTTCCCCCTGGGGGGTAATTTCTTACTTTCCCTCCCACTATCCCTGTCTGTCTGTCTGTCTGTCTGTCTCTCTCTCTCTCTCTCTCTCTCTGCAGAGAGTGCATGCACCCTAAGGCAAAAACCTCTAAAAAATAATGTTCACAGAGAGGCTGGCAGGTGACATGGTGGTTGAGGTGCTAGATTCCCACATGGCCAACTATGGTTCAAGTCCCAGACCCAGTGCCCTGAAAAATCACAACAAAAATAAATAAATAAATAAATAAATGTTTTAAAAGAAAAAAATGTACACAGAATAACATATTTTCCCTAATTTGAAATGTACCAAAGTCTTTACAGAACTCTTCATCATTTATAATTTTGTTTGTAGCAGTTGCACAGGAACAGTATTCAGTTTACTTATGTATATGAAGTAAAAGAAGATATTGGAGTTGGCTCCTACTCAGTTTGCAAGAGGTGTATACATAAAGCCACAAACATGGAGTTTGCAGTGAAGGTAAATATTTTTAGATTTAAATGCTACTCTCAAGCTGGCCAGTGTCTTGGTTATGAAGGCAGCTGGATCCCACAAGAGCACCTGCATGATTCCAGTCATGGACCTGATTGCTTGAAAAACATACCAGGGATATGTGCTTGTGTGCCCAAAATCCCAAAACGGGGGAAAAATGGAGGGAGGGGGACGTGCAAAATGACCATCCCCCATAGGGAGTGATTTCTCATTTTCCTTCTCTCTCACTCTCTCTCTCTCTTTCTCTCTTTCTCTCTTTCTCTTTCTCTTTCTCTCTCCCTGTCTCCTCTGGTGAATACACATGCCCTCTAGCCATTTTTTTAAATGCAACTCTAAGGGGCCAGCAGGTGGCTTGGTATTTAACGGCCCTGGACTCCTACACAGCAGACTCCAGTTCCAATCCCAGACCTGGTGACTTAAAAATCATGCCAGGCACATGTACGTGTGTGCCCACAATCCTGAGAGGAGAATGGAGAAGGGATTTGAGAGGAGAATGGAGAAGGGATTGTGGCATAGCCATCCCCGATTGGGAGTGATTTCTGACTTTCCATTCTGTCTCTGTCTTCATACCAGTTAGAAATTATATTCATATCTTTGGCTAAAGTATCTTTTATTATAAAGGTTAAGGTAAATTGAAAGGTATGGTTCAGTTTACCGTAACTTTTTGGAGATCTTAATCCAAAACCATGAATTCTTCTGTAGGCTAAAGGTAAGACAGTCATACATCCATTTTGCCCCAGTATAGTACCAGTTTACACCTAATGTAATTTTTAAATAGTACTTCTTTTATTCTAAAAAGTCCCTGTTTTAAGATTTTATGCTCAGGGCTGGTAGGTGGTGTGGTAGTTAAGGCACAGGATGCCCACACAACAAACGGTGTGGTAGTTAAGGCACTGGATGCCCACACAACCAACAGTTCAAGTCCCAGACTTGGTGGCTTGCCTTCTCACTTTCCTTCTCTGTCTCTGTCTCTGTCTCTGGTCAAATTAATAATAATAAGATTAATTCTTTAGAAAAAAGATTATATGGTCAGGGGATTCCTCAAAATTGTGTGCCAAATTATTTTTCAGATAAAAATATCCATACCTTTCTTCACATCTGAAGGGATCTATGAACCAATAAAATAATAACCTCTATAATAAAATTCATTATCATTAGCTGTTTTAATTTTGTTAGGTGTCCTTAAACAGAACTTTCTAAGCCAGTAGCCACCTAGTTCTGTGACAAAGTTTGAATTTCAAACCATTAGCTGTAAATGAACAAACATTATATTCAAGTCTCTGCCATTTCCCTTCTTGGAATAGTAATCTCTGTGCTCCCACCTCAAGCAATTTAAGGAATGTCTAAAGCAATTTAAGGAATGTCTAAACCTTAGAACTAGTTTATAAGTATGTGTAGCTTATGTCTAGTTAGTGAGAGTGACATTGTTATTACTGTTCTAAATTTATATGTAATTATTTTTAAAAGTCATCAGTGGGGGGCCAGCAGGTGGTGTAGTGATTTAAGGTGCTGGATTCACACATGGCTGAGTGCAGTTCAAGTTCCAGATCCAGTGGCTTGAAACACTCAGGGAATGTGTGTGCATGTCCAGAATTCTGAGAGGAGAATGGGTTATAATGTGGTCATCCTTCCTGGGGAGTGGCTTCTCACTTTCTTGCTGTTTCTGTGTCTCCGACAAGTGCATATGTCCTATAGCAGAAACTCTTTCTTAAAAAAAAAGTCATCAGTATCCATAAGGCCCTCTGTGAGATATAAGGATGAACGATAGAAATTCATTTAATTTACTCGGGACCAGCGGTTAGCGTAATGGCTATGTCGCTGGACTCCCACGTAGTCGACAGCGGTTCG